AGGATGGTATTTGCTTTCCTTACCTATATAGCGCTGAGTATTTTGCTACTTTGTTCGATCACGGTATCAGCAGAATCCATATTACGAAGCCGCTATTTCGAAATTCTCACGATGTTAAGTCTATTTATGAGCGTGATTACGTACCATACCATTGATAACACCCGATTCGTTAAAACACTTAACCTATGTAATGGTGATTCGGAATCAATAGTGGTATTGATAGTAATACCCGTCATCGAAATTGTGTACATCATCTGGCACTTAATCAAGACAATTGTTATATTGAATCGAAAAGTTACTAGTAGAAAGCTGCCAGGCTCAATTGTGCGAAAGTTGAGAAAAAGATATCCAGATTATGAGGTTCATACGGCAGTTTATATTTGCTGGTGCGAAATGAATTATTTTATTTTCACTCTGGTGCTTGTACAAATTTTCGTTATTTCTTTCTGGTTTGCTGTTACTGATATAAGCAGAAGAGGTCTAAATATTGAGAACGGCATCGATGTCTTAATTGTGTTCATTCCATGTTTGGCCATAGTATGTGGCTTGATTCGGTGTTTGTTTTGGATTCATTCGAAATATAGATCGATATATTCAACTTGGTGTCGCTCTCGAGTATCACCTGATAATACTATTCACTAATTTCGAAACAATCGCAAGAAGTCGTTTTTAAGAAAAAAGTGTGTTCAAGGGATATTTGAACGACTATATGAAGTCCAGAACAGTGACACCCAAAGTGTGTCTACATTGGACCAGATACAAAGTCTTCCATCAGCTGCCTCCACATTGCATACCAACCATGAGAAAAGCGTCACCACCGTCCAACCGATCTCAAACCCTTTCAAAGCTCCTGTAAAATTAGTGGAGTCGATATCTTCCTCGATTAGCGTGAAAAATCTTCGTTTGGATACTATCAAGTACTGCAGAGAAGAAACACCTGAATACGCAAGAGAGAAGCAGCTAGCATACCTTGAAAAACGACTGAATACATTGCATGAGCAGCAAAAAACACTGTTTACTCAATTAAGAACGGAAGAAGGACTTCACTTGGTAAAGCAGTTTGCCAAACTTGAGGATAGCGGTACGCTGCAACTCATAATTAACGTGTACGAATCCGAATTTGAAAATAATATGCCTGCATATGATACGCTGAGAAATACGCTCCAGCAAGCTCTTCGTAGAAGCCAGGACCGGGAGTATTTCAAAGAGATCTATACTGCAAAAAAATAGATTTTTTACGGAACCATAATAGTTTTGTTTTTTAGGTGCGGAAGATTTCTAGGTTTCGGGAAATAAAAATCGTTTCGCAGCGTTCATACAAAACCTTTTTTGACTCAGTGGAACTCGATGAGTTTAGCATCATTCATAGGAAACTACTTCCAGGTTTAGCAACCTGGCATAAGATTGCGCACAAAAAGTACCAAACCTTTCTTGGTTCAGTCGAAGTCGATGAATCTGGGGTGTGGATATGGGTGTGGGGTGTGGTTGTGTGTGGGTGTGGGTGTGGGTGTGGGTGTGGGTGTGGGTGTGGGTGTGGGTGTGGGTGTGGGTGTGGGTGTGGGTGTGGGCGTGGGTGTGGGTGTGTGAGGGTGGGGGTAGGGGTGTTGGCGTGGGTGTGGGTGTTGGCGTGTGTGTGGGTGTTGGTGTAGGTGTGAGTGTGGGCGTGGGTAGGTGTGGGTGTGGGTGTGGGTGGGTGTGGGTAGGTGTGGGTGTGGGTGTGAGTTGTGAGGTGTGGGTGTGGATGGGTGTGGGCGGGTGTGGGTGGGTGTGGGTGTGAGGTGTGAGGTGTGGATGTGGGTGTGGGTGTGGGTGTTCTTCTCTTCATCACACCCACATTCACATCCACAGCCATCCCTACACCTACAGCCACAGCTACATCCACACGCACACCCTTTTCTCTATAGTTTACCGGAAAATTACAGTTGACGACAGTGTAACGATTTTTGTTGAAGTATTTCCTTTTTGTCTACTGAAGAATACCTGATAAAAAAATGATTTTGTTCTAGTTACTCCTTTACATAGGACCATCTCATATTTTCTTTTTCTTTATTTTATCATTTACTGCATATAAGCAAAGTTTTATAGGGTTATTGTCATATAAATACGAATCATTTCTTTGAACTCAATTGTACGTTCTAAAACCTTCACTGAAGAACGAGGAAAATCTGAATCTACTCAAAAGTTTTTAAAAATTGTACTGGAAATTGTTCATCTTTGAATGATAAGCAATAAATAGAATTGAATGCTAATAATTTTTTGTTTTAGAGTGATATTTGATTGTGATTTTAATGTTTGTTTTTCTAAATAATTGGTTATTTTTTGTTTTAGATGATTATTGCGTATTAGATGCGGACAATCTCTTCGACTGTGAAGTTTATTTCGGTTAAATAGATCGAGAAAATACACATAGTTATATAGAGAACAGAAACAAAAGACTTAAGTGAGGAAAAGGATGATGATAGTGCAAGGAGAATGTTACATGTGTGCGACATCTTCCTAACAACTTATACTCTCAAAAAGTGAGAAATAGTAGAAAAATTTAATTTATTTTACTTTATTAATATAAAAACTATTTAAGAGTATTTTTTACCATATTTTTTGATGAGGGTTCAATTAACAAAAAAACTGGTTGTTATTATTCGGACTTTACAAGTAATTTTATCACCGTGACAAACATAAATTCATTTGGAAGAAAGAAAGAAAAACAACAGTGTACCCATGTAAAAGTAAAAAGGTATTTAACGAAATGATTCTTAAAATTAACGCAAAAATGCGTTAAAAGACAAATTAACGAAATTTCACGAAGAAAATTTCATGAACTGTCGCTATATTCCGAAAACTCGTGTAAACGCATTAGATTTTTCACGCGTGATTGTCGTTTTAACTGTAACTAATTCATTATATATCGTTAAACGTTGCATTCATTTTCACGCATTAAGAAGTTTAACGATATTTCTTGGGTTTTTTTCATTTTTAACCAATCTTACCATGTTAAATATCGTTAAACATATTAACGCGTTTTCATGAATTTCTGCATTTTTCACGAAACTTAACTGATTGACTCTCATTAAATCAAGTAACTGTTTTCATGAATGAAATATTCTAACGAGTTTTAATGAAAATTTTAATTGTTAACGAATGTCATTTAATTATCCATCATTCAATTTACTAATCGTTTTCATCCGTACAATATTCATAATTTTTTGTGCAACATATTTGTTTATGCACATTACACAAAAATCATCTTGAAAGACTTATATTTACGAAATATCAAGTGTGTCTGTGAACTATATCAATCCAGATATCAAAAGCTTTTTATCAGATTAAGCAGAACTCTTCTTTATAGAAATCTTAGCTTTGTATTAATCGCTAGCAAAACCACTTGAATTAATCCCAGATAAAGATAATCCTCTTTCATTTTTCTTCTTTAAAATTTACTATGGGTTTTATGTCTAAAGGAATGTAATTCTGTACTTCGTACATCATCATTTCTGCTCCACATGATAAAAAAAGTTTAGCGAAATAAGTGCTCCAGTTAAGGCTAAAAGTTGCCTTAAAAGGCAAATTAATGAAGTTTCACGAAGAAAATTCTCATGAACTTTTGCTAGATTTGGAAAATTCGTTTTAACGCGTTAGATTTTTCACGTTTTTTCACGCACGATTGTCATGGTAATGGTAACTAACTCATTATATCTCGTTAAATACTGCATTCGTTTTCGCACGTGTAATATTTTAACTTTCTTACTCGAGCTGCATGCCACCTATATAAGTGTGTATTGATATAAATTCCTCTTTACGCTATTGAGTTGAGCTGAGTTAAGTTTTTCGCTTATAGAATCTAGATCTAATATGAAAAAAATAACTGGTTCATCTCTGTTAAATATGTAAGCTGATATACTAAGTTAAGAGCAAGGGGATAACTAAATTATATTAGTTCGTGTAATCTGTCTTTCCACAGTTCAAGCTAATGAATATATTACTCCTCAGGATTTTTCATACATTGTTATTCATCACCAACATGATGAAATTTCTTCAGTGATCAATATCTTGCTAAGTTTTACTCGGATGAGAAGAAAAATTCAGCTGATCGATTCAATATTGGATGTACTTTCTAATAAGATGTTTAAGATAACATTATTATCACTAAAAATATTTCATAATTTATAGCGAAACAAATCAAAGAGTACAATATTTTTTTTTACTTTGTCGATATCCTAGATTTTAAACTAGTAATAGTCTTATCATTTCTGTCGACTATGAAATACATTTCTGATACATACAAGAATGCAAAATTATAGCAAGTAAAACCCATAAATAGCTTTAGTTTCGAGATATCGACAAAATAAAAAAATATATTGTACTTCATCGTTGGTTTTGCTACCTATTGCGAAATATTTATAGTAATAACAATGCTTTCTGAAGCATCTTATTAGTAAGTATATCCAATATTGAATTGATTAGCTGGACTTTTCTCTTCAGACGAGTGGAACCAAGCAAGATATTGATTATTGAAGGAAGTTCATTATACTTGTGGTAAATAAGAATGTATGAAAAATTGTGAGGGATAACATATTAATCAGCTTTCGTACTAACGCGTTTTCATGTGTTTCTGGATAAATTCACGTGTCAAAAAATCATTAAAAATTTACTGATCTAACGAATAAGATCGTTAGAATTTGAAAACGCGTTTAAACGCGTTAGTTTTGCGCACTTTTAACGCGTTTTCATGATCAAAATTGTAACATTTTTAATCGTTAAATCATTAAATTTTTAACGAATTTTCACATCACAAGGTTTCGTTAAATTAGCAAAAAATTTTTACATGGGTATAAAGTTACACAACATAATTTTTAATAACTTTCATTTCAGCAATGTCAAATCAAGTGAAGGCTTCTTTTCTTACGTTATCTTCAGAATTAGTCTGTCGAATTCTCGATCATTTGAGAGACTATACTCTTATTTGTTCGATGAAAAATGTCTGTCGACGACTCGATGAAATCATGGACAGTTATCCTCGATATCAGGTAAAATCCTACTGTTTTTGATTTTCGAATTATTTTTTATTCCCACAATCTATATGAAATAGTATGGAATACAATAATTCAATTCTTTTAGACAAGAACATTTTCAACATAAGAATGTGTAACATGCGTGCAAATCAAAAGTCTTGACTGACTTGATTGGACTACCACCCTTTTATTTTAGGTCGGTCAAATTTTCAGAGAGAAATTCTTAAAATTGGAATCAAAGAAAGATTGCATCCAAAAACTAGCGCATCTGAAAATGTATAAAGAGATTTTTTAGACGTATTCTGAGTTCTCTGCAAACAAATCCCCAAGAGCGGATATCTTGCTACCCCTACTCAAAGTACTACGCGCACCGAAAACACAAAGAATTTGTGTCACTTTGAGTAAACTTGCAACATAGTATTCTTTAGCTAATTGTATATTTCTGAATTTGATATATTCGGATTTACTATCAAAAACTCAGAATAACCATATTCCTTAAAGACATAAAGTATTCTTACAAGAATCATAAAGGAGGCAGTTTGCACGTTTAATATCCGTTCAAACAACACTACGCTTTGTTTCTGGAACAGTAAAGAAAACTCTTCGTGGAAAACAATTGATCCATACAAAATATTCTGTAACCAATGAAACGTAAATAGGGTATTTTATACTGTTACACGGAAAAATCAGTGCAGGCTTTTGATATTGTAGCTTAGATGTATAGCATTCCTTATTACACGCATAACCTCATATTCTCTCCTTTAAATGCTTGAAAAATAGTTTTACAGAAAAATAGTCAAATTCTCAGTTTCACTATATGCCCCGTAAAGCAGACTCCATAACTGTGAAACTAATTCATCAAATTTCATTTAGCATCGATGTTTTCGAGAAATAGTCTTCTCAGTAAATCAGGTATTGTTATTAATTACTGTCGTTCCGCAATAAGTTTTTTCCTTGTCTAATGATCAATCACTGATTTAGCATTATTTAGTAGTTGCGTATCATTGAACGTACTGGTAATTACTGTCTAATGATCTCATCGTACTTCTTCTTTTACACAGGCACTTGATACACTCAATTCCGAAGGGGATGAAATTGGAGATACAGGTGCAGAACATCTGGCTAATGCTTTACGACTGAACAAAGTGAAAAAAATATTCTTTTCGTTTGCTTCATGTTATTCTTTCTGCTTCCACATAGATACTTTGTACACTCAACCTTAACGATAATGAAATTGGAGCTTCAGGGGCAAAACACCTGGCGTATGCCTTACGCATGAACAAAGTGAGAAAAGCATTCTTCTAATCCGCTTCATCCTCTTCATTCTTCTTTCACATAGACACTTACTACACTCAATCTGGGAGGAAATGAAACAGGAAATTCCATTGGACCTTTAGGAGCAGAAGATTTTGCTGATGCACTACGAGTGAACCAAGTGATAGAAACAGTATTTTGGTTTATGTTATTATGTCCTTTCTTCTTCTACACAGACACTCACTACACTTAATCTTGGAGGTAATATTATTGGAGCTTCAGCAGCACAACATCTGGCCAATGCATTACTAGTGAACAAAGTGATAGAAACAGTCTTTTTACTTGTGTCATCTTGTTTCCTCTTCTTCCACATAGACACTGACTGCACTCAATCTCGAAGGGAATGAAATGGGAGATGAAGGAACAAAATATCTAGCTGGTGCCTTACGAGTGAACAACGTGAGAGGAATAGTCTTTTCTTATATTTCATCCTCTTCTTTATTCTTTTTCATAGACCCTTACTAGGCTCGATCTCGGTTGGAATGAAATTGGAATTCCAGGAGCAAAACATCTGGCTGATGTCTTACGGGTGAACACTGTGAGAAGAACAATCTTTTCATTTGTTTCATATCGTTCTTTCTTATTGCATATAGACACTGACCTCATTAGCTCTTCAAACCAATAGGATTGGATATGCGGGTGCAAAACATCTGGCAAATGCCTTACAAGTGAACCAAGTGATAAAAATATTCTTTTTGTTTACCTCACCTCTTATTTCTTCCTTTGTACAGAACCTCACTAGGCTCGATCTCGGCGAGAATGCAATTGGGGCCCCAGGAGCAAAGCATCTGGCTGATGCTTTACTAGCGAACAAAGTGAGAAAAGCATTCCTTTCATTTTTGCTTCACCTTATTCTTACTTGTTTCACACAGACGCTTACTACACTTAATGTCAGAACGAATTTAATTGGAGATGAAGGAGCAGAACATCTGATTGACGCTTTACGAGTGAACCAAGTGACGGAAACAGTCTTTTCATTTGTCTTATCATTTTCTTTCTTCTTTGGCACAGACACTCCATACACTAGACCTCAGTATGAATGAAATTAGAGGTTATGAACTAGTTCATTTGTTTGATGGACTACGAACGAACAAAGTGCGAAAGGGTGTCTTTTCGTTAGTCACATCTTTCTCTTTCTCCCTTGACATAGACACTCACAACACTCAAATTTTTTGGTAATCGATTCGGAATTCGTACATCAGAGCATCTGGCTAATGTTTTACGAGTGAACAAAGTGAGAGAAAATGTCTTTTCATTTGGATTATCTTGTTTTCTCACCTTTCATACAGGCACTCACTACACTCGATCTTGAGATGAATGCAATTCACAGTCTAGGAGCAAAATATCTGGCTAATGCGTTATTGGTGAACCAGGTGAGAGGAAAAGTTTTGTCATTCATCTTATTCCTTTCTCTTTTCTTTCACATAGACACTAACTACGCTCAACCTCGCAAACAATTTTATCAGAGATGAAGGAGCAAAGAATTTGGCTGATGTTCTACGAGAGAATCAGGCAAGAAAAACACTCTTTTTCTTGATATCATCCTCTTCTTTCTGCTTTTACACAGACACTTACTACACTTGTTCTCGGTGACAATGGTATTAGAGTTCTAGGAGCAAAGTATCTAGCTGATGCCTTACTAGTGAACACAGTAAGAAAAGGAGTGTGCTAATTTTTGTTAAGTTGTTCGTTCTTCCCTCATACAGACACTCACCACGCTGAATCTTGGAGGGGATGTAGAAAATGCAACAGATGAAGACACTGAAGTGAATGCAATTCAAGCTCTAGGAGCAAAATATCTGGCTCATGTCCTAAGAGTGAACACAGTGAGAGAAAGTGTTTTGGCTTGTCTTATATTGTTCTTTCTTCTTCCATATAGACGCTTACTACAATCAACCTCGCGGGAAACTATGTTGGATGTGAAGGAGTAGAACAGTTGGCTAATGCGTTACAAGAGAACCAAGTAAGAAAAACATTCTTTTCATCCGCTTTATCGTCTTCTTTCTGTTTTCATGCAGAGTCTTACTACACTCAACCTCGAAGGGAATCAAATTGGAGATGCAGGTGCAGAACACCTAGCTCATGCTTTACGAATGAATAAAGTGAAAAAGCACCTCCTTCGTTTATTTCATTTAATTCTTTCTGTTTTTATACAGACCCTTACTACACTCAATCTTGACTACAATGAGATTGGAGCTTCAGGAGCAGAACATCTGACTAATGCCTCACAAGAAAATCGAGTGAGAAAAGCATTTCCTTCGTTCGCCTGACCTTCTTTTTTTACACAGGTACTCACTACACTTCATATCCGGAACAATGACAATGAAGATGAAGAGGAAGAAAGTGACGAAGAAGATTGATTTTAACAACTAAAAAACGCTAGTACAACTTTAGAACTGACATTTTGAGTGTGGTGTTTGATAATTGATTAACATATATTGAAAATTGTCTGATTAAATTCAAATTGACATAAAGTTATAACAATTATGAAAATGGTTGTATGAGATGATTTCACTTGCACATATCTAATAATGCTCTTAGCTTGAAGAATCCTTCTGTGACTCAGTCGATGCGTAAATGCGAAGGTACTGTTTAGATTATTGTCATATTGAATAATAGAAAATGAACAGATAAGTAAATGATGAGTGGATTGAGTTCCTCTATTTTGATTAGGGAATATAGGCATGACTGTAGACGAAATCACATACTGAATGATGAGTTTGATATACTGACAAGAGAACATATTTAGACGTGAGAGTGTTTTAAAGCTAAACTTTTCGCCATACGTAGGCCTCGATGAAGTATGAAAAACCGGTAAACGATTTATGCCCTCGTGTCTTTATCTGTGAGATAACGCATTCCGAAGATATATACGAAAACAGACAATGAAATGATAAATGATTGTTTCCTATGTTCATTAACTGTTTTTATATACATCTTACGAGAGGGTTCTCCAGAATACCGGGTGCGTGGGTGTGGGTGTATGTGATTAAAGACAAAAGGAACACCCACACTCACACCCATACCCTTGTTGTCTTTTATCAATATTGATTGCTGTCGTGAACGATTCACTTATGCTTATTTTACGTATTATTCTTATCTATTACAATCCTAGTAGTACCACATTCGCAGCAAAAATAGAGTGCAGGCGTAGATGCGGATGTAGTTCTCTGAAAAGTGATACCCACACCCCACATTTGACATGAACTAATGAGCTATAGCTAAGGGAAAAAAGCGAGACTTCTAGAACGCGTGCTTCACTCGTACTTCATAGTACTGAAGTCTTGCTTTTTCTCCTTTGGCTATAGCTGATCTATCTCTACTTTAAAAATAAATTACAACAAAATATATTTATCAAATATTTTCTGTTCCAGATTTGGTTATTTAAATTTCTGGAAAAGTTTAAAAAATAATATTCATGGGTATTAGATTATCTCAAGAAGATTATATTCATAAACATCCAATTAAAGGAAGGGCAGATCATTTTTATTTTGTGTACAGAGAAGGAGATTTAGATTATGTTAAAAACATGTTACCTAGTTTAACATTTTAACAACTAAATCAAATACAACCTAATGACAGTACATATTTGCATGTTACATCCTATACTGGGCGCACTGAAATTGTTCGACTTCTATTAGAACGAGGTTGTGAGTGATCTAAACTAAATTCATTTGGGCTAACTGCATATGAAGAAGCACTAACGGATAATATAAGAGCATTATTTCACCGTCCAAGCGATCATCATGAAGAAAATCGATTTGTTGATAAAAACATAAATGAAGTGTTTTAATTGGCATCAATATCATCAATCATTGAATAGCACAATGCGACACAAACCATAGATCAAAATGATATAGAAACAGATGAATCAGAAAGCAACGACGATTTTTTAGGCGATGATTCGATCGAAGCATTTAACAACTTTGACAAATATTCCGCTTTAATTCTCAGTACAGTTATGAAATCGAAACTATTTTATCGATTATTCGGACTAAAAACAGAGACTTTACACTCAATAACGAAATTTATTCTTAAAGATTCTTTTAAACAAGAAGATCCTGACTTTAACAAAGTTGGCGTACATTTAAATGAATATAATGAGAAAAAATCTTTGCTTCTGTAATACACCTTTACACGCTACAAACATCATTCTATTCACCGATAAAAGACACCGAAAAATTTACCGTCCTCATGGTGTTGCTATACCGACATTTATCTCAACTAAGAGAAAGATTTTTTAAAGGTAAAGTCTATCGTGGGATGATAGTTACAAAAAAAGATTTAGATGCATATCGTTGGCTATTACAACACAAAGGTTATGCATTAATGAATTCAAAATTTCAACCATCCTCAAAGGAACCGTCGGTTGCAGAATGTTTTCTTACGTCAACTATTACTTCAGAGAATAATGGTGATCGCCGATATCTTGCATCAATGATATATAATTTCCATGAAACGTGTCAATCAGCGATTGACTTAACAATAGTAAATGGAAAGTATTTATGTGAATATCCAAACGAAAATGAAGTACTAATATTACCTTACACATTATTTGAAGTATGCGATATAAAATCTGATGGAACAAAAAACACACACACGATTTATCTTAGAAACATCATACCATCTGGCATAATTAGTAGCTTTAAGTGTGCTATAAAGGAATTCATGAATATGTCTCCAAGTGATTTTCACCATTCGATCAGACGTTTGGAAACTAATTTAAATGCCGTCATGGATTTGAATAAAAAAACTTTCAAATGATATACATGCATAAAAGCGCACCAAAACTGTTGGCACTATATAAATAAAATATCGAGTAAACTATATCCTAAAGATTATGGCTTAAAATATAATGAAAATTAACGAACAGATTTTCAGATAAAACTGCTGTCATTTTCGCTTAATGTAAACTGACAGTATCATAAGGCAACTAGCACAAGATTTGTGTTCGTAAAGTTACCTTAAACGCGTATTAATCGAAAATCAGATTGACTTGTCACTAGAAGAAAAGAAAAGTTATATCTCTCAGTCTCAACTTTTTCTTTTAAGCAATCGACTAGGTCAAAGTTAAATAACTTTGAAGCAGCATACTTCTAAGTTAAACAAACACACAGAGTTCGATTCGCTGACGTTTTTCTCGTTATTTATCCAAATATAAACAAATGTGGGTGTGAGTGTGGAATCTGAATGTAGTTCATCCCTTCACTCACACTCACACCCACACCATCCACATCCCATCCACCCATTTATAGGCAAAAAACTATTGAAATTGAAGGGAGCACCTAAAAGGTCCCTTCGTTAGTTTTATAACTATGCTAGAGAGAGACTATTTGAAATATCTATTCTATTGGCTGCTATCTCGTTAGCAACTGTTGGTGATGTTGTCATTTCTTATGGATTGATAAGATGTTGCTTTCTCAATATTGTAGTGACTTCTATTGTAGTTTTTCTTTATCGTGACACTCAGAATTGAAGATATAGAGATAAATGTGTCATCATTGATGATGTTTGTTCTTGCAATTTTTCCACTTCTTATCGGATGTAATATATTTGCCTTAGGTAGTAGAAGCGGTAGACGAATTGTGATATGTCTGTTACTCGACTAGAGATTCTACCGAATGAAGTATTGGCTCAAATCTATCTCCAGCAGAGCTCCTATCCAGTGTTGAATCACTCAATGCTCGTATTAATGCTATAATCCGAACAATTCCTCTGTCGATCGATTTTGATCCAGACGACTGCGATGAGTTTGACCATTTGGTTTTGAGTTATTACGCTGAACACGTTGTAACGTGGCGCATTGTTGGATACATTTCATTAATTGGTCTCTCTAGATTTGTTAATTTACGTTGCCTGAATTTGGGTCCAAACTTTTGGAGCACTGACCTTAAAAATCAAATTAATGCGGGTGCTCTACCATAATTAAAACATTTGATAATTGATGGAAATGTCGAATTGGATGTATCCGTACGAAATATAAATCTGCTTCGGCTACGATGCGAAACACTTCATTTCGTATAGATGGTTTCATATGATAAACTACGCCGCTGAAGTATAATTCCGTAATGTAGATTTGCCTCTTGGTGACCTTCAAGAGGCATCTATCACATTGTCTGGTCATGAAGATTACGTTGAAACGGTTGACACAGACAACATTCGAGATTGAATTGAGGGTATTGAGCATCACGCACTCAGACATGTGTAACTTAGCTTTACATGGCATATGAGTACTTCGTGGCTTGACTCAAAACTTGCATGTATGCTTGATGTCACTCGTTTCAAATTAGATTTTAAAGGACGCCAATATATGTTTACTTTCTCTGAGCTTCATGAAGTGCCGAGACGATCTCAACCTCGAAATATCCTATATTCAATCAATCAATTCATTAGACATCGACTCATTGAAATCAATTGGGCCTCTATTTCGAACATCGATCATCAAGGAAGATGTATATGATTCTTAAATTAATCAAGTGTACGTTAATTGCTAATTGAACTCTTCCTTTAGTGGAATATGATTAAAAATAAAAATGTGAATGTTATATTACCTTAGGTTTTAACCACATCACACATACACTCTCCCTGTGTGTCGTTATAAATAGATCCATACAGAAGCATATTCATAAAATTGTGAATAATTTGTATTTTCAATAAGATCGACAGGAAAGTAATTTGTTGCTATGAACTATAAATATCTCATGCAGAAAGTCATTGTGTAACTAATCGTGAAAAGAACTATTCATTTATTTTTCGATAATCGATACTCGTAATTTCGCACAGTATTTTGCAGATGAGTGAAACTCGAATGCCACATACTTTCTATAATTTTCAATTGAAAAAGTGCAATTTCAATTGTCAGTAAGTTTTTTTTTTGTTAAAATGAATGTTTTTACTTTTGAATTAGGAAAGATAAGATCATAACAAGAAATAAAAAGAAATCAAGTAAAATAATTATAATCATGCATATAACTTTTATGTATTTCAATTTATTTTGAAACAAACAGAGATTTTAAATCAAGAAACGACAAACAAAACAAATAAATCTCTATATTAGTCTCGCATCATTTCTATCATTGAATATTAAACATCAACAATACCTTTTTGTTGTGCTCGATGAAAAAAAAATATATATATATGCATATGCAAAATATATTATCAAACATTGACAGACAATATCTCTTCAATACAAAAAAAAAAGAACATGCAAAAACTATTTAAAATCTATTCTAAATGTTGTCAATATCGATCAATATTCATTATAACTTTTCTTCTTTTTATTCTTCTCATTATCTTACTTATTATTACTATTATAACAACAAAAACTATATTTCTATCTAACTCTCACACAACAATTAATATCATTTCAAGTACATCTACATCTTCTATCAATCAATCTTGTTATATGTCAACAACAACAACAACATTAATTCTATGTGGTTGTCCTATTAAATCTAATTTAAAAATAATCAATGGACAACCATCAAATCAAGCTGCATGGCCATGGATGATTAGTTATGGTCCTAAACGTATTCATATTTGTGGAGGAACACTTATTGCTCCCGAATATATTATTACAGCAGCACATTGTCTTTATTCAAATGATAAAAATAATCCAATTGATATTACAAATATTGAAATTCGTATTGGTATAACTAATTTAAATGATGTTACTGATAAAAATCTTTTCTCTATTCGAAAAGTTATTTTACATAATGATTTCAATCCTAATACATATAAAAATGATATTGCATTGATACGATTAGATCGATCAATTATTCAATCAGATACAATTCAAATTTTATGTCTTCCTCGTTTTACATCATATATATATCCATTAGTGAATACAACAGTTATTGCTATTGGTTGGGGTCATACAATTGACCCATTAATAAATCCAAATTCACAAATATCAACACAACTTCAACAAACATTTCTTCCTATATTACCAATAATTAAATATGAAAATAATACAAATTTATGTTTTAATCAAGAAATTGATTCACCTGATCAACAATTTTGTGCTGGTTATGAAAATGGTTTATCAGATACATGTCAAGCTGATAGTGGTTCACCATTAATGTTTTTTAATGAACAACATTGGGAACTTGTCGGAATTGTTAGTTATGGAATAGGTTGTGCTCAAATAAAATTACCTGGTGTTTATACACGTGTATCAGCTTATCTCGATTGGATTCATGATCGAATTAGATATTAAGAAAAGACAAAACTATTTATTTATTTGAATAGATATATATATATATATAATATATTTATAAAAATAATAAAAAAATTCTTTTTTTCGTTTAAACCCAAATTCCACTTGGACATAATTTTAATAAAGTACTATTCATAAGTTCAAGATGGCCTGGCTTAACAATATCAGTTGATGAATTCGAATGAAAATGATATGGTGATTTAGCAAGACCTATTGAAGAAAAACAAAAAATTTTCAATTTACTTGAAAGATTTCTTTTTAAGTAACATGCACACAATGTGATAATAAAGCTAATCTCATCTAATTATCACTTAATTATTAACTAAAAGTTTATATATTAGAAATTAAATTTGATTTTAGTGAGAGAAAATTTTGACTTACTATAAATTAATAAATCATCAAGTTGAATAACATCATTTTCTAATTCGATTATTCGTTTTCGATGTTGTTGAATAATATGTTCTATATCATGAGTACGTTGAGTTAATATATGTGATAAATCTTCTTGTTGTTTCAATGAAGAATTTGAACGTTCAAGGTCATATTCACATTGGATTATTTCCTATAATCAATAAAGATACATATGAAAACAAAATATTTTGCTTTGTTCTGCTCAAAATCAATTTTTGTATAGCAAAAATAAAATAAAGTTTCTCTTCTCTGTTCTCGAACACGGTATATTCAATCGAGCTCAAATTTGTTTTTATTATAGTACCATTAAAAAACAACGTGTTTTTTTTTGTGATAGTGCTTTCAGTATTTTGTTTTTCCGGGGAAAGGGAGATCCCTTTAAGACAAAAAAAAAAAAAATCTACAATTCTAATATAATGTCATACAAACCTTTTTATCATTATTGATATGTTTTTGTATTTGTTCAATATCTTTATGTGTTTGATCAATATTATATTGAAGTTGTTCGTGTAATTGTATTTTTTGTTCTAATGTTGATGAACAACATGTTAATTGTTGTTGTAAATATTCATAATTTGAATTTAATTTTTTATAATATTCTAATTCAAAATCTAATTTATCTGATGAATATTCTTGAGTTAATATTTGAAATTCAGAAAAAAGTCGTCGTTCATGTTCTTCAAGAATTTGTAATTCATGTTGAATATTATCTTGATAAATTTGTCCTTGATGTAGAATTATATCATGATATTCAATTTCTAGAAAAATTATTATTAGAAATATGATTTTCTTTGTTTGTTTTTTTGAATCTACCTTTTTGTTTTTCATTTAATTCATTTTCTTGTTGTTCAAGTTGAATTTCTTGTGATTTAAGTATTTGTAATAAAGCAATATATTGTTGTTGTTGATGTTGAATATTTATATGATTATTATTTGATTTATGAACAATATGAAATGCACTATTTTCATGTATTGATGATGGTACAGCAGATTTTGGTCTTATATGATTATTATTCTGATGATTTTCTAATGAATTTTTAATAGGTGTACGTGATAAACGTTTATTTATTGATGATGATGATAATGATTCATTTGAATGAATATTATTATTGCTATTATTTTTATTTATTGATGGAAATATCTGATGTAAATTTGAACGTTTCTTATTTTGAGATGATAATATAGTTGAACTAACATTATGATTGTTATTTCGTACTGTTCGAAAATGGCCAGAAGATGAGTTTAATGGTGAAACAGCTAAGACAAAAAGAAAAAAAAAAGAATATTTTTTTTCTTTTCATTTTTATACGACTATTTACTTTCGTCATCGGATGTCATTAACCTTCTCTATTATCTTTATCTTTGCTTGTTTTAAACTTTACATTGTATATAGTAACTATATATATATGTTAGACATATGTGTCAAGGTATACATTATTGTCTTCTTTAGTCAGTGACTTTTTTTTTATTGATTAAAAAAAAAAAATTGAAAGAACTAAAGTTACAACGTTTTACTTATTGCATGATGAAATATTCAATGTACTGTAGCTCGATAGATGTCTTGAACTATTACATCATGTTTGTTTTTTTTCTAAATAGTACTAAAGCAACAATAGAATTTGCATGTAAGACTAATCTTGATAATGGACATGCAAGCACCAAGCCGATTAAGCCTGAGGTGCTTGATTTTAACTTCATTTTTCTTCTTTTGTCTTGAGCGTGTTATTCAAATAATAAAAGGAATACTGTCTATGTATATTGTTCGATGCTAAGTGATCTGCATATATGTAGACATATGATTACATGTTCATGATACTACATACTTATTTTATCGAGAAAAAAAAAATATCAATGGATTATAAAAATAATACTACCTTGAGCTTTTATATGAGAAAAGTAAATGAATAATGTAGAGTTTTTCAATAGAATCGATGATTCTTTCATTTGAAAGAATAAAAAAAGTACATTTATGAAATTATATGTGCTTGTTATATTAGAAAAATATAGTTCTTACTGAATTATATTATTATCCAAGGTCATTTACATATATAAAATATATATTCATGCATATATATCGTCTACATTTCTACAGCAATAAAATCTATTCACATACTGTCAACAATTGTCTGTTGTTGCTGTTGTTCGATTGGTGTTTTTCGTCCATCTAAACTTTTCGAACGTTTTTGAACATTAGATAAATTTGTATTTGATGGATTTTGTTGTAAAATATAAACCCAATCAGGATGATGAATAAGTTCACATGTTAATTCATTTGGTGATAATGTTCTTTGAGTACCATCCGGTGCATATTGAATTAATGAATATCTACCTGCTTTACCTTTATATTGAGCAAGTGCTATAATGATATCATGTACAGTAGTTTTTCGAGTTAAATCACAGATGATACGTGCAACACCATCAACATACACTCGAAGGTCCATACTGGCGCATCGCGAGTAATTTTACTTAAAAGTAAAAAAAAAAAAGAAACGAGGGAGAGAGAAAGAACAGAACATATACAACAAATTTCACAATCAATCAATAGTGGTCGTCGTCGTCTTCATTGCTGCCGAACGACGAACGCAAAGAAAAGGGAAAAGACTCGCTTCTGAGCAAATAAAAGAAGTGAAGAAGAAACAAAATCAGATAGGAGCAAGCAAATATACACCTCAATATATGTATTGAAACTTGTCAACGATCATTTAATCATTGACAAATGAGCAATATCATATATGGACTAACATCTTAAGTTATGTACATATACATATAAAGAAAGAAATATTAACGAGATGTATTTAAAGAAGAAAACGAAAAAAGAAAACGTTTCTATCGTTGAATTTTTAATGGTGAGAATATTTAAATTTATTTCAAAAAAAAAAGAAATAGCCAAATTGAAAAAGGCATACGTAATCGAAAAATCAAATTGTATTTTGTACTGTCTTATATTTCGATTGTTAATTGCTTGATACTTTTTTATTTCAATTTACTATCATATATTAATTGACATTTTTTTTTTTATCATTTTAAGTTCGTTCTATTCTTATGATTTATATTGAATTTTTTTTTTTTGTTCCAATATAGATTTCAATTATCTAATTGTAACAAATAGAGAAAGTATTATATAATCATATTTTTTTATATAAGTGTTTATATCATTACCTAAGGTATCTGTTAAGCTCAAAGGATTAAGTATAGTAATTGTCAAACACTTAACCAGTAATTAATGTGTGACCTTAAAAGAAAAGTTGACATAACTTCAAAAAGTAAATCGTCAAATACTTGAAATCGATTACAAAAAAAAAAAAAAAACATAAGTTAGATAATACAATATATATATATTTTGAATATTTATTCAGGTGATAAGTAAAAAAAAAAATTTATTAAAAAAAATTATTTTTACTTGTATTTCTCTCCAAAAAATAATTAATTGTAAGATCGAGACATTTGAAATGACATTATTGAAATACGGTCTATGACACTTCCAAGGTTACATCTTTCATGACATGTGCAGGGAGTTCAAGTCTTTTACCTCCTTATTTCAATATTTTTTTTAGATCACATTTCAAAAAAAAAAAAACAAATATTTGTTGTTAGACATGATAATCATTTAAATACTTAATATACCTATGTAGTTTGCTAGAATTTTGTACTTAATGACATCACACACTAAAATGTCATATATTGACATTCGTCATATATATACATAGAAGAATTCTAATTTTTCAATTCATTAGCTGTTATTTTTTAGTTCTTTCATCGAGATAAAAATATTCTTTTACACTGTATCTTATTTCTCAGACAAAATGTCAATAATCATAGAATAGATAAAAAAAAAGTCTTTGCATTGATACCAATCATAAATCTTTTGTAGATGAAATTCTGCAGTTGTAAATTCTCTATGCAAGTAAAACGCTAGATTTATGACAGATAATAGAAATTATATATATATATATATTTTTTTTGTTAAAATCAATATTTAACAAAGAAAAAGATCTTCTTCTTTTCTTTTTTATTAAATTAGGAAATAAAGCACAACATAAATTATTCACACATGTGCTCGCACTATTACAGATGTTTGAATAAAACACAAAAATAAAACTTTGTTTATTTCTTAAACATCAGATCCATATGAATACGTTCGTTTTCTATAACCTAAACTTCTTGATCGTTGACGAGTATTTCTTTTACAATCAAATTCATCATTATGTTCAATACTTAAAATCATTCGTGGTTTTAAATTATCATCATAAGATTCTAATGTACGATCAAGTTTTTCATCAAGAAAAAATAATGTTTTTAAACCATCTTCACTAAGTACACGAAGACGTATTGAATGATCAAGAGGAATTCCTGTTATTGGACGAATTTTGATCTATTTTTTGAAAAGAATATGTATGTAAATATAAATATGAGTATATATATATATATATACCAATAGTTCTTTAACAGTCATTGTTTGACGAATCTCACATAATTCATTAAAAAATCCTTTATATTGAATAAATAGACTTATTGTAGGTACGACAGGACTTTCTATATCAGGCGATGATGAACCCGAACCTAATTGTAACTAATTATACAAATCGACATTTTATTAAATAAAAATAATATTTCGTCAAATTTACTTACAGTATGAAGTTGTTCTTTAACTTCTCGTAATTCACGACGTGTTTTTACGAGTTCATCAGCAATAGAAAACATTTTTTCGTCCTAAAATTATAATATAAATTTCAATATTAAGAAACAAAAAAAACATAGTTAAATATTCTCTCTTATAATAATAATATTTTCTATCATACAGATAACTTACATATTGTTTTTTATAATCATTTACCAAAATTTTTAGCATGCCTTTAAAAGTCATGATTTTCTTACAGTACGTTAAGTCTAATAGGGAAATAGTTCTTCAAAATATTAATTATTTCAAAAATGTCGATAGAGCAAAAAACAACTTACAATCGTATTCAATTGTAAGTAAAATAGAATGAAAGCATTTCTCATTTTTCTTTTTCTCGTTTTTCTTCGTATTTTATTTCCGATTTTCTTTAAAGTAGACAATACAACGAGGGAAACAACACTATATATATATCTATTTTTTTTTTCTTAGGGAATAAAACTTCGTTAGAAACGAAGAAACAACTATACAAACGATAAAATTGACTAGCAATTTTAACATAGAAAAATCAGGTCAATTTGTTTTTTTTGAATAATACAAATCATTAGTAGACATCTTTTTCTTTTTCTTTGATATTATCTGAGGCATTGTCGGTAGTCTCAAAAAACAAAGAAAAATATAAGAATGAACGAGAAAATGAAAAACTAACCCTAGATTTTTTTTTTGTGTCTCATTCAGTACATGAATATTATTATTCAATTGTTGAAATTGAAATTTTATTTTATCTTCAACGAATGTTAATATGAAAATAAAAGACGAGTGAAAGTAAGATGAATATTTTAAAAACAATAGTTTATTTTAATTGTACAAAGAAAAAAATATTACAATATTAAAGTTTAAATAGGGATGATAAAAATAAAAATCATCATCACAAATATCATTTAATTATTATTATTCATATTGATTGTGTACATATCTTTCAATGCTTGAGATGTTCAAACATTTCCCGAACTTTGCTTTATTTCAAAAAACAATAAAACACATTGTAATTATAACCATATGTTCTTTTTCTGGTAAAATGTTTTACTGAATCTAATGAACTTCGATTGTTAGATATAAACAGTGCAGCAAAGTCAATTTAGGAAAGACTCAAAAAAAAATTTTCAAATGATGTCAAAAAACTTTAGTTTTTCGTAGAAACCACTTATAACAATGTGGCAGATTTAGAGAGAAGAAACGACTTTCCGTCTGCAAGAAATTTTTCCAAACAAACTAAAAAACGAGTTTACACTACTTTACATGAGTCCTGAAAATGTGTTCTGCTTATAATTGCCTCCTTCGTTTCCAAAATCCTAGATCACTCACTGACTTAGAAGTATTGCTAACACTTTTTTTAAAAATTTTCTGAAAAATAGAATCTTTATATTAGTGTCGAATAGAATAGACTAAAATGTCTATCAAACCTTAATCACTTTTCAACAAACAATATGATTATCTCACCCTTAAAAGTGGTGCTCAACAAAATTCTTGTCTACTGTGTAACAAGCAAGATGCAGCTTAGTACCGATTTATGTATGAAAAGACGTCAAGTAAAATTTTTAAACCTACACAACGTTGGGATATTGTCAAACTTTGTAATGTTTTGTAAAAAACTAGTCAAAAAAAATGAATTACTAAATTTGACTCATGCACTCAGTCTTTATGCTGTTGTTCAACGTAAGCATATTTGTGACAGTGATTGTCGCCGAAGGCGTTCAAATAGCCAAGTTATAATCGTTTTAATGAATTTTCGACTTGTCGTTAGATATTTACTAAAAAAATCAAACAATGAAATTTCAATCTGAAAATTTGTCCATTGATAGATCGTCTAATGATTCGTACAATATTCTAGAAGTTTCAGTCGAAAGGAATGTTTTTTTTTTGTTGTTGTGATATTCAATTTTGAAGTAAACTCGATTTTTGTATCATGCCTATGACAAACGAATTTTCTTTTGGAAGTTCAATATTCTAC